CAAGCCTTGTTGGTTCAGACAAAAAGAAGCTAATGAAACTTCTCCCAGCAAAGCTGCAAGAACTAGATATCCTGTTTCAAGAAACAAAAGAAACTGTCATCAAACTTTGGAAAGATTTTTATTCTCTGTACAATTTGATTAACTGTGATGTATATTCTAATGATTTTCACCTTGAAATTTTTCAGCAATCAAAAGACTTCATCAATTTATTTTGCTCACTTGGTGATAAAAGAGTAGGCTATTCTAATAAAAGAGTTACTCCATACATGCATGCATTAGTATATCATGTTCCCATCTTCATGAAAAATTACAAGAACTTCAAACAGTTTACTGGTCAAGGAATTGAAAAAAACAATGACGATGCAAAGAGGATTTATTTTCAAAAATCAAACAAGTGGGATGCTGCTCAAGATGTATTGCTTCTAGAACACCGTCAAGAAGCACTTAAACATTGTGAAAGGGGTAAAAGGAAATACACAAAAAAGGATGCAGCTTACTGGGAGGATGGCATCATTGACACAAGGAAAAAAAGGATGAAGGCCAGTTTAAGAGAACCARAAAATGATGGTGAAGCATTCAAATGTGATGAAACTCAAAACCCAGTYGAAGCAAATGGATACAAGAACTTAAATGTCAAGATGTTAAGAGAGGCGATCAAAGCAAGACAAATTAAAGCCAAAGGAATTGCAAAAATGAAAAAATCTGAATTAATTGATCTTTTGAAAGAGCATGATCTTACTACCCAGGTCTAACGACATGATTCTATTATATAGGAAATAAAAATATATATCTTAATTATTTTACTGGATAAAGAGTTTAATGAATTGATTCTTATAATTTTTTTAAGATTCACTGCATAGGTACTCTCATAATTTTAAAAAGCTCATATTTTTATTACTGCTTTCTGATAATTAAGTGTAAACAATTCTATTAARAAAATGCTATAAAATTATTTAACAAACGAATAATGTACCAAATTAAGTGACCGTTTCATCGACCTTGTATATATGTCAGTCACTTTTTTTAAATTAAATATTATTGCAACCACAAGCTCTTCTATTTACAAAAATTATCACTTTTTCGATCGGAGAATTAGGGGCAAGCTTGAGTTGTCCATTAGATATCAGGTATCTTTTTTTCACAAAACTAAGAACAGTTTTCAACTTAATTGGAAAATCAATCGCTATTCCTTGTCCAAGCTCATGTAAATAATAATACCAATATTCTGGAAGATCAAATCGAATAAAATCATATTTATCATAAAGCATGCAGACTCCATCGGCGGCTTGTTTTCCTTTTCCTCTAAATACATATCTTACAATATCATGATCTAGTCTAATTTCAGCTGAATAACTAACTTTGACAGCATTTGATTTCAGAATAGTTAAAACAGCTTCCAGAAATAATGCAGCCCCATGCTGAATTCTTTCCCTTGTAATAACAGGATTATCGTATGTCCTACAAATAAAGTAAGAAAAATTCCCTTAGTATTCGATAGTTTATACGTATTTCATGCACACAAAAGGAAATTATTGTAGTATTGGTTTTGCAACTCCATCAAATATTAAGCTTATATTTAAAACACTTCTTTACCTGATAAGGTGATCATTCAAATGACAAGAAGGTTCCCAGGTACAACTCCATAGCGGCCAATCCTTCCATTTCACAAGGTATTCAAGTTCCTATGTTTTTAAATTGCAGAAATATAAATGCATAAATTTATACTACGGGTTAAGTATCTCCATAAACGACACATTTACCTACCTCCTTATTTGCTTTTCGCCGGCTAATGAGTCTCTCCACAAGATATATTTTAGATCCACGACTGTACTTTTTTTTCCCTTTTAAACTAAGGTCTAAGTCGACTGTAGAAAGTGTATTTAATGCTTTGTAATCCACCCGATCGGTACTTCTATGAGATCGCTCCGCCATGTTTGTTTACATGAAAATATACCACTGCGCATAGTCAGTACTCCTTAAAACGACCGCTGGCTAAATATACTACGGGAGCAAAATGTCTCGGATTTCTGGTAATGTTAGCTTGGATAGTAGCCTCCTTTGCAGCCGTTCTTAGGGTCCAGTCACGCGACGTTTCCCAGGCTACTTTGATGACTGCGAGAGGACAATGGCG